GTCCTAAAAATAAAAACATTAGTAAGCTAGAAATGACCATTTTGTAAAAACTGCATAGCTAGACAGACTTGCGATCCTTATTAGGGTAATAATCCATCTGTTATGGAACTGGATCAATTTGTAAATTAAATTGATTAATCTAAAAGGGGAAAAAAGGTCTTGACTTTTCCCAGAGCATTTTCTTAAATAGTACTCATCCTAAAAAGATTTGGGAAGACTAAATTATCTGCCATTCTTTCTTTCTTTGCTCAATTCATAGAAAAGGCCAAATATCTATTTAAAAGAGGAGTAGGGTGTAGCTTATGCTTTTGGATTCCAGGGTCTGATTGCTCCTGGAAGCTGCATATTTTTGATAGGTTTTGATGTTAAAACCTTTTGATGACTACCAGAACATTTCTAATATTCATTGATTAGGTTAGTAAACATATGACTATGTTTGGATTATCTTCTGCATTTAGCTTGCTTTAATTGCTTTACTGTTATTTTCATCTCGTCTGATAAAAAAAAAATCTCCTGATGATTCTTCTAACAACGTGTGATTGGAATAATAACTTCACATGTTGAAGAGTTTTGTGCTGCAGCTGAGAGGCATGTAAATACAAGCTGCTTATTTGCAAGAAGCTTCCAGATTTGCAATATGATTGCTATGGAAACCACATAATGAAAACCTTATAACCATCTGTGTGGTTTGATGGATTTTACTGCATAGCTGAGCTGTTTTTGTTTACTGTTATTAAAATGTTGAATGGAATATATTAACTTACAAACATTGACTATTTGAGGTATTGATTAATATTATATAATGACATTGTGTCTCAACACCAAAATAAAATGTGTTTAACAATAAACTTAAATAAAATAACATGTGAATGTATATGTTTCTAATATATTGTGAAGGTGATTATTGCCTTGAATTTTGGTCACTTGTTTTTACTTTTTTTTTTTTTTTTTTGGTGTAGAGACTTGTTCTGTTAATAAATGAATGTTAGGATTTATTTTCATGATTTTTGAACCCATTTGATCATTCAGTATCTATTGAATATCTCCTTTGTGCCAGGTTCTAGGCAAGGTTCAGTCTGAGGTTTTCCCCTCTAAGATTTAAAAACACATACCAAATTTGATTTTCTTATCTTTTATATGGAAGTGGTTTATATTGTTAGCCCAAGATAAAATTGATGTATGAGATGCATAAAGCTTTGACTTACAAATATCAGTATTAGGTTTCACATGAAAAAGGAAGGTTTTCTAATGAGCATTTTATTCTCTAAAATAGTGCTTACTAAATAGTATCTCACAGGAATTCCAATTTATACTTCACAGTAAATATTGATACTTGAGTAAATATTTTTAATCTCATTATTCTGATAACTTAAGAATGTATTTTTTAAGGACAGAGCTCTCTGACACTAATATACAACCCAGAACACATAGGCACTTAAATTTTAATAAAATAAGAAAAATTTATAGTAACACTAAATTTATTTTTAACTTTGCCAAAGAGCAGAGTTTTTCCATTTAATTATTGTAATAAATTTTTATGATATCTTGATGCTGACTTTGAGTGGTGATTCTTAATTCAACCTCTTCTTAAAAAACAAGAATAGTGCTTATTGTATTGATGCAGGTATGGCTTTTGATTGAGGACAAGTACCCTTAACTTTTTTAAATTTCTCCTTACTGTTGAATTTGTGACCATATTAGAAGGGGAGTGGCTATCAGGGAAAGAGAAAGTATGAAAAGCAAGAAAATCTTTCTCTAGCGTCTTCTAAAAAGTTAACTATTGGCTGGCTGTGGTGGCTTACACCTGTAATCCCACACTTTGGGAGGCCAAGACAGGAGGATCACTTCAGGCCAAGAGTTTGAGACTAGCCTAGGCAACATAGTGAGACCTTGTTTCTACAAAAAAATAAAAAATAAAATTAGCCGGGTGTGGTGGTATGCACTTGTAGTTCCAGCTACTTGGAATGCTGCGGCAGAAAGATCGCTTGAGCCCAGAAGTTCGAGGCTATGGTGAGCCATGATCATGCTACTGTACTCCAGCCCAGGTAACAGAGTCAGACCTCAATTTTTTAAAAAAAATTATCTGTAGAATGAAAAAGTGAACTAAATGACACTTTCTCTTCAACCTTCAACATTTATATGGAAGTATACTATTAACCCATTTAAAATAACTGGTTTGAGGTTTGGTAGAAGTGAGATAACTGTTGTTAAAGAGAAAAGAGACAGAATTTAATATTAGACTTTTTATTAGGTTTTTCTATTTATTAATTACTACTTGACTGAACTATATTAAATCATCAATATTAGGCTCAACAGTATGTATAAAGCAACAAATAATTTCAGCTGTTCATTATATTGGAAGTTCCATTGTTTTGTTTGAATTGAGTTACAAAAACTGAAACAGTTACATTTGTCTTGTAAGTACAGTTACTCTCAAGCAATATTGAAATGCTGGATTTGATGAATCCGCATGTAAAATCTGCAGGAGATGCCTGCATTTACACCTGTAGTCCTGACCATAACGCCATACTTGGCACTTGTCCCCAGACATGTTCTCTGGGTTGTCTCACCAGCACATTCTTCATGTTAAGAACACAGCTCCTTGTGTTCCCTCAGCAAGATAGATTATTTTGGCTATCTTCATTTTGGCCTTCTTCTTCTTCTTCTTCTTCCTTCTTCCTTCTTTCTTCTTTTTAAAGTAATAATACACTCATTTCTCAGTTTACTAAGCTCCAAACCTGAGCCATTCTTGGTTCATCTTTTTTTCCCTCACTCCTCCACATCCAGTCAGGCACAAAGCTTATCCCCAATCTAGTTCCTTTACCTCTCCTGTCCATCTCCTTTCCATTTCCTCTGTCCTTCAGTTCAGGACTTCCTTCCCCTTTATCTAGGGAGAGGTCTGTCTCCCTGCCCCTCCTCTAGGCTGAGACAATGGATCAGTTGTCCATTTCTGAAGCATAGTTTCAGTCCTGCCCTTTCTCTGCTCAAAAACCCTCTGAGGCTCTTCTTGACTACCAAATAAAAGTCTAAAGTCCCTAACAAGATGTTCATGACCCCTTAACACCTGACACAAACTATTAGCATTTTCTCCCACCCTGCTCTTTCCCCGATGTGTACCAGATCCTTTAGTCAAAAAGAATGTGTCTGTGCCTTGTTATTTTAAAGTTCACGCCTTTCCCTCTATCTGGAAATCTCTTTCTTCCCATCCCTCTGTATTTAAATTCTCCCCATCCCTCAGAGCCTTTGTAGTAATCCCTGACTGGGAGAGTCCTCTGCTGCACCCCTCTAATACTTTGTGCTTCACTTGCCAAGTTTAGGCCCCTTGAGCCTGTTTTCCTTTAGATCCTGTCTTCTGGCCCCTCTGTGCCATCAGCTTTCTGTGGGAAGCTGCCTCCTTCCTGTCTCCTTGGTAAATCCCCTCTGTCTTACAGTTAATTAATACTTAATGAAGATTGATTGATTGGTTGGATAGTTGGTTTAATAATCATAATGGCTATATGTATATATTTTGATATTTTTCTTTAAAGTTTTGGATTTTTCTTGGAATTATGATTTTTTTTTGCTCAGTTTTTCTTTGGTATGCCATCTGTTTGTATGTCCTACCTTAAGTATTTCTAAATTGCATGTAAATCCTTAGGTGGGGGAAGTGATGATATAATAAACATTTTTTTTTTTTTTTTGGTGTAAGAGAATGAAATATTTATTGACTCTGTTTAAAACTCTTCTTATGGTTCAGCCTGTAATCCCGCGCTTTGGGAGGCTGAGGTGAGTGGATTGCCTGAGCCCATGGGTTTGAGGCCCTCCTGGGCAACTTGGCGAGACCTCATCTCTACAATAAATCAAAAATTAGCCAGGCGTGGTGGCGCGCGCCTATAATTGGAAGCGCCAGCTACTTGGAAGGCTGAGGCAGAAGGATTGTCGGAGCCCAGCAGGTCGAGGCTGCGGTGGTCAGGAGCGGCCACTGCACTCCAGTCTGGGCCATGGAGTGAGACTCCAACTCAAAAACAAAACAAAACAGCAAAAACTCTTCTTATTTAATTTTATCATATTTCTTCCCATAACTTGGGAAAGGGATGTAATAGGAGAATGTGAAAAAGAACATGGACTTGATGATCACAAACTTAAGTTTCAATGACACACTTTGGAAATTACTTCACATTTTTTGGTCTGTGAAAATATACTGGTCTATAGCATGAGGATTTAAAGACTATCTGTGAACTCTTAGCATCTATCATAGTTGTGACACATAGTCCTCAGTGTAATTTTGTGGAATTGTCTTGAAGGGTAAGTATCTTCCTATGAAGATTGAGAAAACATGTGAAAGTATCTGATACTCAGTAAATGACTTATAGTTTAAATCACATATTTTCTCCTTGCTATATTGATGTTTTAGGGACCATGATTTTATATGTGATAACTCTACCACACAGTATAATGTAGTGTATTGGTTTAATGCTGGGTGTTATTTCACTAGGCTTAAGGGTTTCACTGGATTTAAGATTGTCCCATCCAGGGGCGGTAACTGACGCCTATAATCCCAGCACTTTGGGAGACAGAGGTAAAAGGATTGCCTTATCCCAGCCCAGTTCAAGACCAGCCTGGGTAACTTGGTGAGACCTTGTTTCCACAATACATTTTTTAAAAATTAGCTGGGCATGGTAGTGCATGCCTGTAGTTTTAGCTACTTAGAAGGCTGAGGGGAAGGATTGTCTGAGGTCAGCAGGTCAAGGCTCCAGTAGCTGTGATCGTGCCACTATACTCCAGCCTGAGTGACAGAATGAAACTCTGACTCAAAAAAAAAAAAAAAAAAAAAAAAAGCCAGTGATTTATTTGCTCAGTGTTAGATTATTGAAAAGGGAATGTGAATGTTGAGTACTTTCATTCTTTGAGAAATAATATTTATGTGTTATAAACTTTTAGTTTTACTCTTAAAATGGGGTGCTCTAAAACTTATCCCTGAGGAAACCCTTCAATATGACATTGATATTGTTGATTTATAGAAGAAGAAGAGGACGATGCTTCTGTGAAAGTGGAAGAACAAGGGAAGACGAGTCAGGACAGTGTTCATCACACTTCAGGTAACAAGTTGTGTAGCTTCCTGGCAAACCTTATTTTGATTTTGTTCACTTTCATTTGAGCTACTTACTGCCCTAAAGACGTTTACACAGTTCCCGGAAGTTGGCTTGTTTGGTCTGGATAGCTTATGGCTGATAAACTGCTTAGTCCCATTTAGGATGCAAGAAAACCACTTGAGAAGGATTTATAAAGTAAGCCAATTTATACAAGGTATTCCTTCCTGAATTACTTTGTAATGACTCAATTAGCTTTCATTTCTGCACAAAGGAGATTTAGTTGCATAAATTAGCTTATCATCATTGAGGAAGTGTCACTGCTAAAGGACAGTTTATAGATACAACATGCAGTTGCTGTCAAACCTATAAGAATGTAATATAGACATCTGTGTATACTTTGTGCTTGAGTAGAACAGACTTCTGCCATTCAGAGACTAACAGGGGACAACAAGTTGCCCAGGGGACTGGCAATGTAGACATCTCTGAAAAGGTCAACTTGACACAGGCTCTGACAATCGACCCACAGCTCTGTCTTCTTTGATAAAAATCAGATAAACTTAAGACCGCTAATTGATCTGCAGCCTGTTTAAATGTTGGCCATGCATATCTTCATTGCATATGATTAACACAGAAAGCAAATGAATTGGGTAAGAAATGCCAGAGTCCAGTGACAGCAGTTTAAAAATTAGAAAAGGACACTGGTGGCCTAGAAGGCTAGGGAGGATGTTCTCCTTATCCATTTCCATTTGGCACATGGCCCCAAGTACTAATTATCACTGAGACTGGAAAAATAATTGCACACACTGTATACGAAATCACATGATATGGACAACTTTTCTTTCTTGTTGTTGTTTCAAATTGCCAGAGATTAAACCATATCTGTAGTGCAAACATGAGGTTGGTTTTGATAAGCCAGCAATTATTTTACATGGAAAGAAAAGGAGGTCTGCCTTCTTATCAGGACTTTACACCTCTTCATAGCCACATGTCAGCTGGGGCAAGGTCTGCCATATCATCCCCATGTCATGCAAAAAGCTGGAGTTGGGGTCACCTTCCCCTCTCTGATATGTCCATACATCACTCTTTCGAGCTGTCAGAGGCAGGGTGGACAAGAAGTGTGTGTTCAGGAAGTAACTTTCCAGGGTCCTTCCTACTGTGACATGTGGAAGGAAGCAGAGGCCTGATTCTGGACCTGGACAGGAAAGCAAAAGTAGGTTGCTGCAAAGGGTTTGGGTTAGCTTTTGTCAGAAAGGAAGCGAGGACAGAGTCATTAGATGTTAGCACTCCAGTCCTGTAAACTGCAGCTATAAAACACTGGGGCTGCGTGAAACCTTGAGGACGACGTTCAATAGCAATTTAAGTATAAACGTTTTGGGCTATGTATCACGAAGCTTCTGCCAACAGCGTGTAGTTTTCTTTTTAAGAAATATTTCAGTGCAGATATAGAAGGTAGATATATAGATATTCTTTCCACAGATACAAATATTTTGGCTTAAAGCAACTGTATTTTTCAAAAGCCCTTTTAAAGTAGCCATCTCCCAAACTTTTGCCTTTGAGGGTAGGGAAAAAAAAAAAAAACAGTTTTCCTCAAAGGAATGCAGTAAGTAGATCTAGCTTTTCATGTGATAGCTATAAAACACTACAATAATTCTTATCTTTCATGACATGAAATTCTTTTCAAGCAACAGTTTTAATGTTTTTGCATAAGAGTGACCTTTGCTCTTCCCTAGGCTGTCAAAAATGTAACACTAGAAGTTTGTTTGCCACGCAGGGCAGTGAGTTGACAAGGGTATTACTATCTTGCTGAGCATCATATGACGTGAACTTCTAACCTTACTCAAGAATGTTACATATTTTTCACACTGACTGATTTTACTAAAAAAAATCCCAGGCTGTTCTAATGTAAAATATGTAAGAAAAACAAAATTAATGTTGTGTTTCTTACAAGTTTCTTCATGTTCAAGCTGATATATCTTACGGATATGTGTGCATGTGTGTGTGTGTGTGTGTGTGTGTGTGTGTGTGTGTGTGTGTGTGTATTTATTAAAGATCCCATTTGATATTTTTGGAACATTATAGAACATTATAGAATATTTCTAAAGTAGTTTTTAAGTCTTTAACATCTGGGGAAAGAGTATCCCGGATCTTATTATCATATGTTTCATCTGATGTCATCATGTTTTTACCATTGCAAAGTGTCTGTAATGTTCATATATTTAGTTTATACTTTCATAATAATTCTACTAACTTAGCCCCATGACCTATTCTTGTATGTCTTTAAAAGCAGGAGCAGATAGATTATTTAAATCCTTCACAGGCTAACTAATTTACTGTTCTTTTCTTTACCTTCTTTTTTAATCGTTCATATCTCTCAGAACAAAAAACATAATATAGTGATTTTTTTTCTGTAATTTTGAAAATGCAGGTTATGATGTGGCTAGAATAGGAAAATTAATTCATGTACTAAAGACAACTAAACATCCTTAATTTGTCTTTCAAAATGTGTTCATGACGTTATGCTTTATCCCGTTAAGATACATATGTTGCATGGATTAACTTTGTGAAACTACCACACTTTTACAGCTGGGTCTATGCATAATTTTTTGTATATGTTGAACCACACTTTAAATTTTTAGAAGTAAATCAAAGGAGCTCACTACGCTCTAAGGAACAAGACCATTTCTAATTTTTATGTCCAGATTTCCCATCAAGAATTTAAACATTGCTTTGCTGAGGAGACTAAGGCTAATAAACATGTACTGCCAGGTTTTCTCCCTAGTTGTGATTTTTCTGCTTTATAACTAGCATTGCATGCTGAAGTAGATAGAAGAGTAAATCATATGTACGTGTAGCTGTGTGACATAAACAAATTATTCCTTAACAGAGCTTACATGTGGGACACAGAAATGAGGTTGGTTTTGGGGTAGCATCATCATCAAGATCATAGAAAGCATAGTTGAAAATGCATCTTTTTCCCAGTATTGCCAAATCGCTAGCTCTGTTGCCTCTTTACGGCAGTGAGAGTTAATGAAATGCTCATGATGCACATCTAGGGAGAGATGCATCCTGCACACGGCGGGGGTCTCCCTTCCCCTCATGTGCTCCTGTGACTCCCATTAGTGTTAATGGGAGTTTCACCAAGTGCATCGAGGGGAAGAGAGACCCCAAAGTGATAAGGATTATGTGTTAGAAATCACCATATACTTTTCTTTTCCTTTTTTTTCTCCCCTCCCCCTTGAAACCCTACTGAATGAAAAACTATTGTGAGAGAATCTGGAAAAGGGAAGCACAGCCTGGGCTCATCCCAACCCATTGGGATGCCACAGCTAAGCCAAAACCTCTACTCTAGTTTTTAGCCCAAGTTTTGTTTCTTCTACCTTTTTGGACTAAGCCTAAGGCTGAGCAGCACAAGGAACACGCAGGAGCCCTGACAAGGAAACCAGCCATTTAGATCCTTTTACCTCCTGGCCAGTTACTGTGGGGGAGGGCCTTGCATGTGAAATGATGTCATCCTCTCTTTGCTCTAATTCCCTGACTTTTAAACTGACACTGACGGACTGCATGGGGCACAACATTTGACCCATTTAGCAGTTGATTTAATCTGACTAGAATGTTTCAACTTCTAAATCTCTATTTGTCTAAATAAGTGGTTTTTAAAGGAAATCAGTCACTTTATTATTAAGCGATTTTTTTTCTAAAGAAAAAAATTGACAATATTTGGAGTGATCTGGCCAGCTGGAGTGCCCTCTAGTGTCTATTTATAGAATGTCCTTAATATATACTTGGTGAAGGGGGCAACGTAATGAAGGGTAGCCACAGGCATTGTTAGTTCTTGGTTGGATTTCCAATCTTGTATCCATCCCTGCTGGTATCAGAGATGAGTACTCAAATGCTAGTGTGGAGAAGTAAGTAAAGTCCATCTCAGTCAGTCAGTCTGTGTGTCTTGTGTCTGTCTATCTGTCTACCTCTCTCACTCTCTCTTTCTTTTTCTTTCTTGCTCTCACATGCCTGCACTCTGTCTCTGCCTCTCTCTGCCTCCTTCCTCTCTCTTCTTACCTCCCCCCTCCCATTGCCTCTCTTTTTTAATTCTTAGAAAACAAAAGGCAAAAATTTAGTAGGGGGATTTTGCTAGGTTGTCTATTTTCTAGTCCATCTTTGTTTTCTTACAAGTATAATTGAAAAGTATTATTCTATTTCCAAAGTATTCATACTCCATATTATTCAGACTCTCTTTTGTGGCTTTAAACAATGTTATATATATTAAAGAGAATTTTAAAATTTCTAATTAGCTTAATACTTTGTATTAATCACACACTATGTGTAATAAGATGAACACCCTAATGACATGCTAATGTGACTACTTGTGTTAGAATTGCCAGGAAACCTGCTGTTTGAGAGCCATATAACAAAACTAAGATGACAACCCTGGTCCACCCTGTGTCTCCGCAGTTATCCCCACAGAATTCAAAGATGACATTCCAACGATGGAAGTTGTCAGCACGTATATATTCTGCCTGGCTAGTGAATACACGGACATCTTATTGATATTACTTGCATTCTTTTTGCATTAACTCATCAAAACTCAATTATCATGAAATTAAAAACAGGAAACAGTTCTCAATGTAACAAAAGCATCAGTGTATTTAACTCTGTTCTGTGTTTCAGGAGACTCACATTGTATAAGTGACAAAGCATTTATTACCCCGTTTATTGTGGTATTACAGAGCGGAAAGCGCTAAATAATCAATCAGTTAATGGTCTGTATGGCAGTTTGAGCACATCACATCCATTGTGCTTATGCTGTTAGAAGGATGAGCTGATAACTCCAGTGTATGTTGCATGTTTATTCAGAGCCTCATGTCCTAAACTGGGCTGACAAAAATCTGTTGAAAAATGCAGCTTCAGCACTGGCAATTTCAAAGTTGCTGAAATATTTCAGAGATCACTTTGAGAAGCTTTGGGTACAAATGTCCCTGAAGCAAAGAACTGCAATTACTCTTTATGTTATTTCCACATTATCCTCTCCTTTAGCCATCTTTAGGTTTTGGGATTTAAAAGAAAATGTGTGGTTCCCTAGTTTTGGTTTTCTGTTAGCTCCTTTTCTGTCATTATATTTATGATTAGTTTTGTTTTATGAAGTGTTAGTTCGCATCTCGGGGATATTGCTCCTTGTGAAGTGTGACAGACACTTCAAAATATGATACAAGTGAGCTTAGATTTGTTATGTAAAGTAAGTGGGAAGCAACTTTTAGGTGCTAGTTTGATGACATGTTGCAATTACAGGTTTTAGATGAAAGGCAGAGAAAGGAACAAAGATATTCATATCAGATCTTTTGGAAACGGTCTTCATAAGAAGATAGTAAGAAGTGGGATTCTTGTGTGGATGTAATAAATATAGGTTTAGTAAGGGCAAAATTTTTTTAGACTTATTTTGGTGATCTGGACATCCTTTCATTTCTGTTGGTTCATTTTTAAATGAAGGTTCATTACATGAAAGCTCTAACCCATGCTTTTTCTTTCTTCTTCCTAGGAGATAAAAGTACCGATTATGCTAACTTTTACCAGGGTTTGTGGGATTGTACAGGAGCTCTTTCTGATGAGCTGTCATTTAAGCGTGGTGACGTGATTTACATTCTTAGCAAGGTAAGAAGATACCCCAAAGTGACAGCTGTAAAGGAAGAATACAAACCTTGATTTTTAATATATTTAGATTTACAACACTAGGGAAGAATGCCAATTGGAATTCTTCTAGGTCCTTGTTAACAATTGGGAGTTCACAATAATTAATTATTTTGTCAAGTGAAATATAATCAAATTTTAAACACAATCAGATAACAGGATTCAACTTAGCAGTGTGTTTACCTATCACTTCAGCCCTTGGCTCACTTCCACCCACTGCCTTCTCCAGAAACAATATACTTATGTGAAAGTTAACATTGTGAGGTATTAGGTTATTTATTATGTTTTCTTTCCTCTTCCTTTTTATTCTTCTGTGTGCTTATTCTGATTTTGTCTGCCATTCACTACTGGAAACACTGTTTATAGAACAAGTTTTTCATCTTTATGTAAATACATTGGGTGTTCCGACAATTTAAAAGCAGTTCTCTTCTACGCAGACACATTTAGGTAATTGTATTTTAAGTTTAACATGCTATATTTGTAAACAAAATGGCAAAGTATATTGCTATGAACTCAACTTTATATATATATATATAATATTTCTGTCTCTGTTTCTTAAGTTATTCAGAATCTTTCTGTTCTTAGATCTAAAAGTTAAGTTTCTTATCGTGATTATACTTCTGATAACATGTGTAAGATTCCTTAATTTTCATATTTTAATTTCCCTTACTGTACTACAGGGTTGAAAAAAATCTTCCTCTGTCTACTTTATGAGACTATTTTAGAAGCAAATGATATATGGGAAAAATTTAAGTATAAATAGGGAAATGTTAAATCATAAGTCTAGGAGTTTAATGTGGTTTCTTTCTTTATTAGAGAAATATTTGGGGCTTTTCAGAGAGATACTATGACTTGTTAGATACAGAAGAGAAATTGGAAATAAGGTCACATGTTGAATTTTAGCACCAGATAGCCAGTGCATAAAATCATAACAGAGAATTATAGAACATTAGAGTGAGGGACTCTTAGCAGTGATCATCTATTCTTGGTTTACAGATCAAGGACTATGACTCAAGAAAGTGCCAGAGCCAGTACTTGAGCTCAGGGTCTTGACTCTCAGACCATCGCTTTTCCCTCTATTTTCCTTCTTGTGCTTATTCTTCCCTCTCCTTCCTTCTCCCCTCCCTCCCTCTTTCCCTCCCTTCTTTCCATTTAATTTGAAACCATCATAAAACACCTGCAGTGTGCCAGGGCCCACTGGCACCTGGAATTCAAAAGGAGTAAGATCTATGCACTTGCAGATTGAAAGAAATCTTTAGTAAGTAAATACAGCCAACTGTGATCATTGCTTAAGGTGCCCAAAGCTAAGGCTAGTAACTTCTTTCTCTCAGTTCTCTGCTTATTAGTATAGTCTGTTGTTGTTCCCAGAAAGATGCTTTCAGTTCTTGGAAGCTATGGATAGTGACATTACAAATGTTGATAAAGCCTGTTACTGCACATTAGATTTTCCTAAATTAAGACAACAGATTTTTTTTAGCTAATTACTTAATATAAAAATCAGACTGTTTAGTTTCAGTTCTTGTCAAGAAACTTTCTTAGAATCATTCCTCAATTTACATAGCTCACCGTTTCTTTAACTGATTTGGCTGCAATTGTGTATCAAAGGTTGATTAGCTTCCACTTGGAATTTCATATTATAGGGGTAAATAGCCCACAGTCATTATTCTCCTCTTGCAAAAATTAATATGAAACTTAAAAAGTTCATGTGAGTCTGTCCTTAAAGACTTTACTATGAATCAGGTTGTCTTGGTTGCTGAAAGCCACAATAAAACACTAGATTCCAGGACTGACTGTGAAACAAGCAGCTATGGACATATATTATTTCTACCATTGCCTCAGGGAATCATTTTCTGAACATAAAATTAAAAGTACAATCCTATGTGTGTATCATACTTTTAGGAATCTGAGGGAGATAGTTCCTGTTCTTTGAAACCCATTTTGTGAAGACTAAAATTTTATTTGTGAAGCCTGATCACAGAACTAAGCTTAGTGGTGACTCAGCTTGTGGGGAGCATATACTTCCATCTACAATTTTTAAATTCTATTATTTGGGACCAGGAATACCTCCTCTGTCAGTCTTTTGCAAGGTTTGAAGTTCTATCATCATGGTCATATTTATTAGGGGCCTCTAGAACTGGATCTTTTAACTAGGACTCATTTTTGTTTTTGAAAAAAGATCCAAAAAAGAAGGCCTTGTTAACCAGCACATTATCACCACTGACTGAATGATTAAATACTCATAATTACCCAGCTATAGACCCAGTAGAGTTAACCTGCTAAAAAGAAAGGATACTTAGCTCTTCCTTGATTAAATTTGGACAGAATCTGGGCCACAGATGGGTGTTTTGGCTGTTGGGAATCATGTTGCATTGGTGTTGACTATAAGTTTGTGAAGACTCTTACTTCCCTACCTTGCTTTGGGCAAGTTCAGATGAGAATCTCCTGAGACTTTCTAATCATCTTGTATTGACTTGGCTTTCCAGTTTTTTTGAAACTTTGGCAAACACAGACCATAAGTTAATATCATAAATTCATTTAATATGCAAACTATAACTGTAATTTTGAATGCTTGATATTATTATAAATTAAGAATTCAAGGCCTTTAATAGAAGAGAGCAAAATATGCTCCAAAGGGCTTGTTTCTAGATCAAGGTAGGGCCAATGTTATATACTGATAGATTTTTTTAAAAAGTACGATTAGTATAGAAATTGCTAGTGTTGTTACATGCCTAGAAATTTATCAAAGGTTGATTAGCTTCTCAGAGTCCAGTGTATTTAGATTTCGTGGTAATGGGATGAAATTTTTACCATTTTAATTTATTTTTTTACACCATCTAGTGGCTCAGAATGAGTGGTGCAGGTAATTGCAGCTAATGTATACAATCAAGAATTGTGTCATAAATGCACCTTTAAACGTAGCTCTGGGTTATTACGTTCCTCTCTCTTATCAATAAAGTATTAGCGTTAATCATGAAAACCTTTTCTAATCATTCTGAATTAAATATAGGCATTGCATACATAAGGAAGAATACATTTGAAGGAATCTAAAATAATATTTGTGTAGACATAAAAAATGTGTACTATATAAAGAAGTTAATGCCATGACTTTTCTAATAAATGAAACTCTTTAAAAGAGGTTAAAGATATGCAATTCTCTTTTGGTAATGGACTGATTTATAATTTGAAATATTAAATTATCACTATTTGATTTGACTCCTAGAAGTTTGTCGCTTCTGAAAATACTCTTTAAAAAGACAACACTACATAGCTTAAGAAAAGATGCATTCTCACAATATAAATAAACATTTCGACAAATAAATAAATAAAATGCCATGCATTATAATGAAGTGTTTTAATTTTGTAAATGTAATGGCAGAAAAACATTTCACTAGTTTGGGAATTATGTTGTCCTCATTAAAAACCACTATAGAGATATAGTTTCATTTTTAAATTTAGTCTCCTTTTTCTGTTTTGCAAGGAAGTTTTGATGGAGTGTCAGCTTGCTCAGTCATCCTGGGGCTGATGTATTTATTTTAGGCCTCTTTTGAGAGTTACATACAACTTAGCCTTTTTTTTCTTCAATGAAAGTCAAATATTACAATAAAGAAAGAAGAATAGGTAGATACCCTGCCCTTCTCCCTTCCCTTCGTAACATTTTCCAATCAGCAGCTGTCATGTGACCTCTGGCGGAGCTAGCCCCTCCTTCAAAGTGTCCAGCATTTTCTTAGTTTTAACCTTTGAACCTCACTAATAATAAATCTAAATACTGCTTGTCTTAAAAAGAGAACCAGTAACTTTTTACTTTTCATATAGGGTTCATTTCATATAGGGTTGCTGCTGTTATTTTATGTGTTAAAATAAAATGCTTCCATGGAGATGTGGAAATCTTTTTTCCCCTTAAAAAAAAAAAAGGAGCAAATTTACAGGAACTGGGGAAAATAGAATTTGTGTTTTTAATGACAGCTACATTGTTAGTGAGTTAACTCTGAAATACAAGGTCTGGTTTCAAATTAATTTGCTAGGAGGACAAACCATATTTGAGGTAGAAAACCTTTATTTATTTAAGGAGTTGTTTAAAATCATGCTCAATCCTTTTACTTGTTTTCATTTCATTTTTATTACCATCTAAATAGAACATGGACTTTCTATTACGGTTAACAGTATTTTCCTAGAACCATGTTTGTGAAACTTTATAATTTTAATAGTAGGGTCCAGATTATGGAGCAATAGGTATATTCCACAGTCCTGCATAGCTCTGTGCTTATGTTATTCTACCTTGCTGTTTTGGATTTCTGTCATCTATTAGTTTATCTTTCAGTCTGCATTCTTTTCCTTACCTCTAAAACAATGCCTTATTTTTAGAGACTTAAATAACAGACAAACTATACTTCAGCAGGAAAAAAGGCACACTAATTTGATATTTAAAGAAAAATAAGAGCGTTAAGAATACTGGAATGTTTTATCTAGTCTAAGGCATATGTGATTAGCTCTGCAGCCTTTTGAGAAAGTCAGTAAAAAGCCTTTTTATTAAGTCAGAAACAGGAAGTGTAGGTTAATACAATGGTCACTAGTTTACAATAAAAGAACTTTTTTTAGTATGTGTTGGTTGGAGTTTGAAGCAGTACCTTCATTTATGTCTGTTTGGTTGACTTTCTCCAGTGACGGGTGAATTGTGACAGTCATTGGCCATTTGTATCTCCTTGTGAGAATATCAAGATTCAGTTACTTTGGCTTTTTTTGGCTTCAAACCTACGAAAATAAATGAAATGGAAGTCTTGCTGAGCTCCACTGGGCAGGGGGAAATACAAAGTTACTTTTGAATTGTCTTAGTTTTACATTTGTGACCATGTGACCCAGTGTGCCCTAAATAGCATGGCCAACTGCTGACGAGTAACTAGGACATCTCAATAGAGGACAGGTGTTGTTGACGCTAAGCCAGGTCCAAAATGTTAGCATACTTTATA